ATAATTTGACCGAAATTTTTTTGAGCTTTTTGAATTCAAAAAGCAAAATTGGTCCGGGAATATTTTTACTTAATAGGACGACTGTGGTTTCATTAGTATTATTTTGGTTGGCTGCGCCACTGCAAAAGTGATGGCCGCCCTGGGGGACTCTGTTTTTAGACTAAATTTAAGTTGATTTTTTTACGTATAACTGCATATATATTTTTTGTAAACTGGATGGAAGCATGAAAATTAGCGGACTGCCAAGAAAACATGGACAATATTTTACTGGACGAAAAAATATCAATAATCGAATACGTATAACGTATGAAAAAATATCCGGATATCTATGTTCGACTTTCCATACAATATGACAGAATACTATAAAATTTTGGCTTAGTACACTTTTTATCCCGTTCAAAATTCACATCTCTTCCCTCCGTTTATACATCATATCTTTGACGAAATTTCGTTGGAACTAGCAGCTTTTCGTTTCTTTGAAGTCTTTTTCTCTATTAATTAAAATGAAATGATAAAAAAAATATTAATAAAAATAAGATCAGTTGTTAACATTTATAGATTAATATTTACCTTTTGTATTACTACCTTCGCTTTTTGATGATGAGCCAGGTTCGCTCACAACAGATTTACCTTTTCTCTTTGATTTTTCATCGGATCTATCATCAGCTTCCTTTACAACAGATTTAGCTTTAGATCCTTTTTTTTTCTTTGAATTTTTTTCATTGGATTCTTCATTATCAACATCATCAAGGGTTACATCACTCAAATTTTTATCACTCTCGTCTTCTATTATATCTATTGTCGCCAATGGACATGCGTCAGAAATATGAAGCGTGTTTCCGCAATGGCAACACATAGTGATAACTCTGCGTTTAGGTTTAGGTTTCGGCATTGCTGATACTACGATAAAATTTAACAATAAACTAAAGATATATAGATATATTGCACCTTTTATATTTTTAAATAAAAAACACGTAATATTAAATAAATTTTACCGTCTGCACGTACTTTGAGAAATAAAGCCGCGTAAATTTTATATCACTTTAATGAGAGAGAAAAAAAAAAAGGAGTCTAAATAATAACGTAAGTGCGTACTTGCTATATATTGAAAATTTGTGATCTAAAATATTTAAAGTCACGTGACATGAGACTCTGATTATTATTATAAACCAATCACCAGCAATATTCTGTCATTGCTACATACAAACTAGTTTTTCCCTAGTACCCACGGGTAGGGTACCTGGCATAGCGTTCATTGGCATGCCAAAATCTCAAATAGATATAAGGCATGCCATTTATCAAGAAAATCTCAGGCTAAAATCACTTCCGATTCTAAAATTCTTGGTTCGGATCCAATAAACTTACATAATCTTGTATATATAAAAATATAAAAAATTGTAAAAATTTATATAAGTTATATAAATAACAAAAATTTACTATGACAAGTAAGAATTTTTGGTATAAGCCAGTTTTTAATGTTAAAATATATAGAATTTCTTACTTATATTATACTGTATATATGCAATTTAATAGCATGCCAGAGGTGGCATTTTGGCATGAATTTAAATAGTTGGCAGCCATATAGCATGTTAAATTTTTTGCTATGCCAGGTACCCTATCTATAGGAACTAAAAGTTATTTATTAATTTGTATAAATTTTACATATACTGTAATAGCAGAATTTCGAATAATTCTAAAAAGAGTACATGTTTTTATTAAATTTGAATATTTTTTTTGGCCAAAACTTTTCTAAATTCTGGTCAAATTAAAAATTTTAAATTTTATTTGGCCAGAATTTAAAAAAGTTGGGCCAAAAGAGTAAAAGTTTACTATTAACTCAACTTGTATATACTTTTATTAATATTATTCAGGTCCTATTAGAGCCCTTACCTAGTGTTCTGATTTGGGTAGGCCTTACCCGGGTTACCCATGGGTGAGTGAATAACCCAGTTTGAAATTATAGCCACCCAGGTAGTCACCTATAGGTCACCTGTGAGTTAATTCTCAGGTTACCCATTGGTTAACCCATGGGTTATATAGTGTGGATCTGTGATAACAATTAATCATAGCTGCTATAACAGGCAAATTCTTAATTTTGATTGGCTAACAGCTGTGGTCTGTAAAAATTTTGGCCTATATTACAAAATTGGTTATTAATTTTTTAACTTTTTGATTTTTCTATTACAAAAATACAAATTTTAAAAAATAAGCCCACACTATATATAGCAAAATTGGCTTAGAAACAATTTTTCACTTATTGCTATTTTTATAATTCTCGAAACAATTTTTTGGCTGATTCAATTTAGTTTGTAATTTCAATATGATTTGTATAATAAACTATTTTGTATTATAACTTTTATTTGAATATTAGTCTAACCTTTTTGTGTATCTATTGCACAAAAATTTATAAATAAAACTGTGCTTGTTAACTGATAAATCTTAGCAAGAAATATTAAACATAAATTGGGCTTTTATAATTAATATTAATATAATTATGAATTTTGTTAACTTAAAAATGAATTTTTGGTTAAGATTCCAAACAATCAAAATTTTATTATATTTGTTAAGAATTATATAAAGAAATATATAAGAAATTATAATAAACAAAATCAAAGTAAAAAATTTATTACAGTATATACAGTATAAATTACTTTTTTATATATAAATCCAAGTTGTGTATAGCCTTTAAAGTTCCATCTCAAATTGTAATTCATACAAATACTAGTTAGGCTTTTCTTCAATATTAAAGTTTTAATATGTTTTATATTGTTCATGTTTAGTAAACGTAGTTTTTCTAAAAACAATGAAAGTGTTTTAACACATCTATATCTTTAAAACTGCTTAGAAATCTAACTTATAGAAGATATATTAATATCTTCTAAAATTTTTTTTTAGCAAAGCTGTTTTAAAAGTATCACTTTCTATATTTCCATATATATCAGAAATACAGTATTTATATAATATTTATTTTGATTGATTTTATTGAATCTATTATCAAAATTGCAATTAACTAAAACATCTTTTGGTTAATTTTATTAGATGTTTTAGAAATGGGGGAGCCCATAGCAAAAGGTAGCTTTGAGCCAACCAATCATATTTTAAGATTTTATATAATAACTATCTGACTAATAGTTATCTTTATAAAAGTAATTTTTAATTGTCAAATTTATTAATAAAAATATATATAAATTTAGTTTAATCACTTTAATACTATATATAAGTGA